ATCCTGACAACACGGTTCTTAAGCGAATCTCGCTTCCCCATCGGCTTCGCTTGTCAGAAGGTCGCAAAAGGGGATCACTTGACCCCCCAGGGACGTTGCAGCTGTCATAAATATGCACCCTTGGCCAAGCATCTGAATTGGGATCCCTTGACCCCGGGGGAACGCCGCGAAAGTCGTAAGCATGAAAAACGGTCGTGCATCTCTTTTTTTCAGTGCCGTTGTAGCATTTGAACGGTCACTAAAACGAACTGTCGTAAGTCGAAGGCCAGCTGCGTGAAAATTCACCTCCCTCCCTTTGGGTTTTCACCCCTTTTCACACCTCTTTGTCCCCTGTTCCCAACGGCACAATGCAAACGGAGCCAGCTAGCATTGTCTTCAATCGTGGAGCTCTTCTCTCTCTGGGCGCAATGAGAATATTATCTGCGGAATATAACTCCGCACTGGTGACAGCAAGAGCATCCGGTCAGTAAACACTGGGCTCCATTCGGCTGACCAGATCCCACCCCCGCAAAAGGGATTTTGGGGGTCGTTAAAAAAAGAGGGTGATGAATCTTAACATTTAATTGGATCACCCGAGAAAAAGATTGCCTGCAAAAGTTATTTTGCAAGCAAACTCAAAACAAAAAAAACACCATGAAAAATATCATGGAGGGAACCAATGGTTGAATTGAAGTTGCTGCGTTTTTTGCTCGAGCCGCAGCCATTTTTGGCCAAACTCACTGGTACTGACGCTGCTCCTCCTGAAATTGTTCCCGTTTTTCCATGCTGCGCTCCAACAGCTGCCTGTTCTCCCTGCTCAGCAGCTGGATCTCCATAAGAAGATGCCGGTTCTCCTCCTCCTGCTTGCCCTTCAACTGGACCAGGAGCTGCAGAGAAGAATTGTAGGTGTCCCATCACCGAAAGGACCATCGCTGAGGAATCTTGGATATCCAGGTGATTAGCAACAGCAGCAGCAGTTAGACTTATTATACGGCTTCACAATGCTTTCCAGCCCTTTTAAAGCGGTTTACAGTCAGCCTCTTGCCCCCACCCCCAACAATCCGGGTCCTCGTTTTACCCACCTTGGAAGGACGAAAGGCTGAGTCGACCTTGAGCCAGTTGGCCAGGATCGAACTGCTGGCAGTGGGCAGAGTCAGCCTGAAATACTGCATTCTAACCATTGGGAGGGAGGGAGGGAGGGAAGGAAGGGAGGGAGGGAGGGAGGGAAGGAAGGAAGGAAGGAAGGAAGGAAGGAAGGAAGGAAGGAAGGAAGGAAGGAAGGAAGGATAATAGCAATAGCCCTTAGACTTACACCCTGCTTCACAGTGCCTCACAACCCTCTCTAATTGGTTTACAGAGTCAGCCTCTTGCTCCCCAACAATCCGGAGCCTCGTTTTACCCACCTTGGAAGGACGAAAGGCTGAGTCAACCTTAAGCTGGTCAGGATTGAATTGCTGGCAGTTGGCAGAATTAGCCTGCAGTATTGCATTGGTGTAAGAGGGGGGGAGGGGAGGGAGGGAGGAAGCTGAAGGAGCTCCTTGGATGAAAAGTGAAACGTCTTCAAAGAAAAACCAGAAAGTCCAGTTGCCTCTTGGGGGGAAAAAAAGCACCTTTGGGAATTGGGACTTAACATCCACGCTAGTAATTTAACAACTGCAGCGATTCGTGTAACAGTCTTGGCAAGAAAGATCATAAAATTGGGGGGTGGGGAGGGGAAACCTCACTTAACGAACTGTCTCGCTTAGCGGTGGGAATTTGGGGCTCGGTTGTGGTCTACCTGTATTGTGGTGGGAGGAAGGGACTGGCAACCGTTGCTAAATCCAGACCAACATTTTGCAAACCCTGATCTATTCTGCCTTCTCTCTCTCTCTCTCTCCCTCTCTCTCCCTCTCTCTCTCTCTCTCTCTCTCTCTCTCACACACACACACACACACACACCCCAAGTGGATCAGTCCGGGAAGGAAAGGCAAGGGGGGAAAACGCGGTGGGTTTACCTCGCACTGGGTGCTCAGGCGCCCCAAGGCCGTGTCCAGCTGCTGGTTCTGCTCTTTCAAGGCGGCGTTTTCCGCTTCCAGCTTTGCCTGTTCCAATTGCAGGCCAGTCAGCCGGTTCTGCGCTCCTTGGAGCTCACCCTGGAGGTCATCGTGGCCTCGTTCACTCTGGACCAAGGACTGTCGGATCCTGCAGTATATTTGGAAAAGGGCCATCCTGTTACCAAAGGTGCCTTCCCGTCCTTGCTGCGGCTTCTGTCTCCCAGCTTGAATAAATCTTAATGTATTAGATAGATAGATAGATAGATGGATGGATGGATGGATGGATGGATGGATGGATGGATGGATGGATGGATAG